GGTCATGTTCTCCGAGTGTGTCAACTTTTATATAGGTCCAATATTTCGCTTTCAGCTAACCCTTCGCATCCTACTGCTAATGCTCCGACTGCTCGCTGTGCATCACATACGAACCACCTCAAAAGTTGTCGATTGATCTTTGCACGGATGGAGTCATGATGCTTGTCAGTATAATTTGCTTGTCAGTATATTTTGCTTCCTTTGTTTGTTTGTTTGTTTGTTCGTTCGTTTGTTTGTCCGGAAATTCGATTCTACCAGGCGAACAACTTGGAGAGGCGCGGTCAAGGTCGGGATGGGTAGGGCATGTACAAGATGTAAAGAGCAACCGTAACCCATGGTGAGCCCCACTCACAGTGGGCGGGGCACGCGTTCGGTCTCACTGAAAAAATTCATACTTCGGCTCCAGAGCAGTCCCGAGATGGGGGAAAAGTGGATTAAGGTTAGCAAAGGGTTGACCCATCAAATGGAGGAGACACACTCCGAAATGGGCGGGGCATACTCGAGATGGGCGTGCTTCCTACAAATGTCGGTAACTAGTTCCCCGAGAGACTTGAGAGGTGGCGAAAAGGTAAATGACGAAGACAAACATCTGGCGAGAGTCCATCATATGTGCGGATGTGCAACTGACCCGACCCACAGTGGGAGGGGCGTGATCTCAAACGTGAGGTATCAATCAAAAAAAATCGTAGTTTGGTCCTAGAGCTCTACAGACGACGCGAAAAAGTGATCGCGATCGCTTTAATCCATATGTTTCGCCGCGACGCTTGACTCCTGGGCACCAACACTCGTCATCCATGGCATGCGTCGTTGCACTATTGGTTGAAAAAAATTCTCGAGCGTAAACGTTCGTTTTTCTTCCTCCGGGTAATAGTATCTTCTGTTCCACATTTAAAGTTGCGATTTGAGACCACACCCGCTGATGTGCCCATGTATTTCCTACCTATAGTGTTGAACAAGTCTGGTGCAAAAATTATTTGTCGATTTAATACCTCGAGTGCCAGGTCCCTCCCATGGTATCCCTTGCGTGGCTGAATCATGAACTCCTTCGTATGTGGGGAAGGTTTATCTCAGGTAATTCGCCCTCAGAACAGTTGTTTCACTTGTAGCTCAGGCGCAGTCCTGTTCTTAGTTGGCTATGTGCAGCGTCGACTCCACGGGATATCTACTTGTCCCTTTGCTTTGATATCTGCCGTGGTTCTTCTCGCCCATGCTTTGTAAGTAAACATCCCCGCTGCGTTGTCGGAAGTTTTTTCGCCAAAAAACTGCCAATTCCCACTCTTTGAAAGTGAGGAAGCGGCTGAGAGAAACCGTCCAGTCAAAAAAAGGTAGGCTTTCGGTCACATACGACAACAGCCATTGTGCCCTGCACGACTGATTCCCAAAGCGCTCGCTGCTTTTGCGCTCTCGTGGAACTCTTGATCAGTTTTGCTTCTAAAAAACTATGAACTCCTTGGATTGGGTACATAAAGTCTTCGCCGTTATTCAATCCCGTGGTAGGCACGCATTCTCATTCGCATTCATTCTTCCATTCAAAATCGTAGTGTCTTATTGAGTGCGATGTGGCCAGTACGATGACTTGCGGGGAAGGGGTTTGCGATCGAAGTATTCTGGGAATGATACTCATCAAAGCTCACACCCGGTTACTCCTAACAGGTTTATTCATGATAACACATAACATATTGTCCCAAAACGAAGTCTCAGATGAGTGTATTGGAGACAGGAGCAGTGCCCCATGAAGCTCTGCCTTTATCTTCCGAAGGCCATCGGAGAATAGCTCCATACGCACGACAAACCTGAATTGCTATCCACTAATATGTATATGGCTTATGGCTAAAACAGGGCAAGGTGTGTTAGGTGGTCAGTAGCGAAGTATGAACAACAATAGTGAAGTCCGCATAACATAGAAAAATACTATTTGTATTCCGGTTTGGGACAGGTTTAGGTTTCACTCTCTAAGAATCGCTTTCAGCATTTCAGAGACCAAAATTATGGGCAAATCGAGCGGAATCATTTCGATTTTTGGGGTCTGAGTAGGGGTGGCATGTTACGATTAGCAGATCAATTATAAGGACCCGCGACCGAAGATGGTTTCAGACGAGCGCAATGCGCCAGGCAACGAACGAATGCTGGAGAAACTGTTTATTCGTCCAACCCTGGGATAATGCACTTTCTAAGAAAGAGCTGTTGTAGCAGCGAGGCAGAGGGGAGTCGAAGCGCATGCACGTCTGAGCATGTGAAGACCCGTACCGTCCTGAAATCACAATGCTCTTCGAAAACATGACACTTTTCGGAGCCGATGCACTAAAGTACTTCGAGCTAGCTGAACGGAGGCCTTCAATCAAAATCAAACAAAGCTGCAAAAGCATAGCAAACAAAACACGCAAAGGTAGAACAGTAGAGCCGGAAAATGAGGCTCCAGCTATAGTAGTAATTCTGCGAACGAAACAATGTGCAGTCTCAAAACATGCGCGCACTCAAAATCGTCGTGAGAGCGATCACACCAAAGGCTATCATTGAACCGTCAAAAGTGACCTTACCGAATCGATTTTTCCGCAGCAGGGGGAGAGAGTTTTGTGCTATGACTTAGGCCCCCAGATCTTTTGCGCGGAAATACTCCCCTCTTTTCACCCAAAGATCGTGAATGTTGCTATCTGATCTCCTGAGATGGCCAGTAGGAGTTAATGATATGTCGTTGAAAACCATTAAGGAACAGAAAGTTCAGGCTCAAAAAAAAAATCGACTAAATCCTATAAAACGTTGTATCAGTCAAGTCGAAGAAGAATAGCGTGTTGCACATGCTGCTACACCCAAGCATCATGCCAAAGAAGGAAGCTCCGTTGCACACTCTGCTACATCATACGTCCGCAACCTTTGAGTTCCACCTAAATCATTCCAATTCTTATTTAAGACCAGTAACACATGATTTTAAAGAGCGAGCGTGTATACTGGTATTGGCGTCTGATTAACCGGAGGACTGTATTAGGAAGTATTGCAATAGCTACAGTGATGATCCGCAATCAGCGGTTTCCGGTTGTAGGCTTCCCCCGCTAGTTGTTTTCTCCCCAAACTGATCTCTGCCCGATCGTCATTGGTAGAGCAAGACAGCCGGAGGCGGTGTCATTCCCGCTTCTGCTTAAACGCCTTTCCCCAACTATCTCTCTCTTTGGCTCTTGAAGTGAATAACACAGTCATCAGGCTGGAGTTACAATAATCGCAAATGCGCTTATATCGTAGAGCGCTTCGGATTTCTTGTATCTCGAACCTTCGTTTTCGACGGCACAAGAAATTGGATTCTACGTATCGCAAAGTGGTAGCGGAACTCCATAAAATGAGGGATCAGCTCAGGATAAACGCGAGACGTGACAACTTGCGCAGGAATACAGAACCTTAGCAATTCATGATAACGCCAATCCCGTTCCTGCGGTTGTTTTAGAAAGAGCCAGTTTCCTTTCCTGAAGGGGATGTGAAACTTCGACTAGTTTTATCAGGAGTCTTGAGCTTCCAACAGATAAAGACGTACAAGGTGTTTAAATCTGACAAACGAGAAGTGGGTGAGATTCGGGAATATGCGAGTGCGTAGCTAACAATGAGATTCGTCTTTCTATTCACGGCAAGGGAGAAGAGTTCGTGGTTTTCGTAGGGTTACTGAACTCCATATAGATAGTGTTTCCTTTATAGTCGTTCTACAGCATTCCAGCATCAGCTCTTCTAAACGTAGAGTACCACAAATAGAAGGGTTCTCCTTAATATCGTACGTACAATCTTAGGTAAACCAACCCTCTTCTCAAGTATTCTCTTCCCTCATATTTACTAAGTTCATTTGTGGACAATACTTTTTTACTGGGGTCCCACTCCAGTCAGAGTAACACCAACCTAGCCTCAATGCCAGCTCAGTGGACTTGTACTTCTAAATAAAGTCAAATTATATATCTGTTGCAATCTCTTTCGTACTAATTAAATTTGATACTTACCTTCAATTCATTACTGTTAAGATTCTAATGAGAAGATACGCATTCTTCACGATTATATCTGGCACTGGCAATTTTTGATCCCCGCAATACATTCGTATTTTCCTTCTTAAGTATAAGCTAAAACATATTCTTTTTACATTTGGGTACAAAACTTTTATCGTTACTCACTAACCTCAAAGTTTCGTGGTCTGACACCTTAATAGTATGACCACGGTAAAGACGTATTTTGGTATCGTTTTTACGATTGAATGTTTTTTCTTCCTCGAGCTAAAAAGTCAGCCCAGAACGCAGAAGACATTTCAGCCTAAACAATTTCTTCAAAAGTATTTTATAACTTAAAATAATTTGGCGCCTAGTAGCCTAAACAACATGTAAACCTACTTTGATATTTATGGTATCAGCGTTGACACCGGTTTGCATTACCCAAGTTAGAGGACACCAATCCTTTGCTTTGCTATACATTACATACATATACATCAACATCACAACTAAATCTATAACACAGATATACCTACCTTTCATCTTTATAGTATAATTAACTTACTTCACGACTTCCTTGAGAAAGAATTCAGCCGCCTCCTTGACATTTCTTTTCTCCTTATTCGGCACAGCAACAATCCTGACTAATTTTGACATTACAGTTCTGTTGATGTTTTCTTGTTGATTTTCAATGCGCTTAGTCTGGTCGAAGTTTTTCCGATTAAATCCAGGTCTCTGAAACATAGAAATTAAATATTACCATGGATATAAAATTTTATTCCATTAGTGTTGTGGTATACTCACAATATCTTCTTCCATTTTCACTTAAATATGATATACCTGAAGATGTTGCCAACTGGTTTTTATTGCCCTTCAAAACTTACTAACTATTCTACATTGAAGGGTCCAAATTGTTCTGACACATAAATATACACTTACGACAGTTTAATCAAGACTGGTTCAAGAATGTGAGTTAGTAAGACTGAACGTAAATGCCAAACAGACAAATAACTCACCTTTTTAGAAACCTTCTAGTTTAGGAACAGTAACAAGAAACCATGCACTTAACACAAATGAGAAAATACCTGTAAACATGTCCTTTATGGCATTTAGTTCTTTTGTTACTACGCATTTCCTTAGATATAATACGCCTTTCTTTGTTTAAAGTAAAAGTTTAATCATTAAGTTGATAGTTCAAAAAACGTACCTCAACACAATGGATAACGTATAAGATATAACATATAAAACACCTGATATGTCGACACTTGCCCCTGTAAGTAAAGTTATAATATAAAGAATAGGATAATTAAAAACTGAAGTAAACGATCTTTTACACGTTACATACATCTTGACATCAAAACCTAATATATGCGGGGTATAATTAGTGGACACTTATATATTCACATATTTATATACTACGTACACTTCCAATAAACAATAACTCACTGTTTTGCTCCACAACAATACGCGGTAGACCGGAGAAATATCGAAATTATCGAAGTAGACGGATCAACCTCTAGAAAACCCATATTGACTATGATTGGTTGTACACATGCACTATTGATCCATGACTCAGCCATGGAACCAGAAATTCTGATTTTCTCAGCTATCTAATTCAAATGGGTACGTAAGCAGATTCCTCGTGCATAAAATGATACATATTTGACTTGTAATACTATTTTCCAAATAAAACAACATATTACATAGTGGATTAATACTCACCTCTATATTGGGAATAGCAATAAAGGAGAAGTTGGAGGACACCGGAGCTTCTGTCAGAGTATCGGCACTATATGCCTCCTCCTAAAACAGACTATTTTGGGTATAATGGGTAAAATAAACCTATGAAGTGTAGTCACGACCTTGCCAATCTATCTAGAGGGCAAGGTTAATGGATAAACGGGCGATTTTTTTAACATATTCATATTGAAATTTAACATTTTAACATATTCATATTGAAATTGCAGCCCATGTAAAGCAGAACCGGGCAGTCGATAGTTATTGGTGTATTCACGTACTTTACAAACATGGCCTAGTACAGTAAGTAACAAATTAATAGACAGTTGCCTTGAACATGGAAACACACGGCTACGGTGTAGTTACGTACAGTACGATCTAACTATTACAGTATGCCAAATATATAAATACATATCAACATTTAGTCGCAGTCAAAAACCTAAATGTTGTACACAGAAATATTTAACAACGACACAAGGTGGTGTATGATGATCGCTTGAAACTGAAAAAAATGAAAATGAAACTAACTTTTTTAATAAGTAATAAATAGCAGGCTAAATAATAATCACATTAAAATTTTTTCAGAAAAGACACATTATAAGACAAAAACCACTCAGCGTTATAACCAATTTCGTTTACACAGGCTGACCCAAAAATTTTTTTAGGCCGTTCTTGCTTTAGCATCATATACGGTACTTTTCTCTTTTTCTAGATGGGAACAGCAACAAGAAGCTAACTTCAGTATTACCGGGACAATACCGTATCCCGACCCTGGCGTCGGATAAGGTGTACCTTGCACCAAGTGTGTATGTTACACTTTATCAGACGCCTAAAGCGCTGCTATCCATAGATCGCTGCGGATTTCATCATTGTTTTCGCTGCGGATTTCATCATTCTTTCTGTCTCCGTTCAGAATGCTATACCGATCCAGTTTTCTCCCTACCAATACGAGTTCGATCACTCTTGTGCTTCTTCGTGTTCTTTCATTCATTGTGCTCGTTTATCTTTTTTATTTTAATTATACAGTAGTATTGATGGCCCATCGAACCAGATACAAGGGGAAGTTCAAAAAACAGCTGTCTCCTTCAAACATTATTTCAACAAAGAAAACGAGAGTAGTTGTAGGACTATGCTTTGCCTGTAATAAATACTGCGATGAGAACTGTTTTCAATTCGATTTGATGGTCTCAGTTGTGCGCTAATGTTGAAGAACAGAAGCAAAAGGCTTTGATATCTTTTGCAGTGATACTTTTAATTTTGGTTCACAGGAGATTCATTGGCGGGACGGGGAAACTAATGGGGGCGGGTGGCCTGGATGACCGGAAGTGGAAAAAAAAACTATAGGGACTAATGAGCACCGTCAGAAAAGGGCTACCAGATTCATAGCCTGGATACGAAGGAGCACTACGATTTCGCTTGGCTTCCGTTGAAGGGCCCGTATGAGCCAGAAGCTGAGCTGTCTCTTCGTTCCCAAGCCCCTCAATATTCCTCATTTTTCGATTTTTTAGCAGTCTATTGACTTCCACTCTTAGGATTTTTTTTCAATCATCTTCCTTCTTGGTGTCTCTTCATGTTTTCGCATCTAGAAGGAAAGGCACTATTCAGTGAAATGTTTTGGGAAGATGGAAGCAACATTAAAAAAACTTGCCTGAAAGTAGTTTGGTTGAAGTGCTGAAGCAGCGAAAGCAGCTCAAAGCTTACGATTGAAGAGATAATTAGCGCCTTAGAACTGCTTAAGGTCTGTCCATGACTTCGCATCCAGGCCGGGAACCGGGTCTCCATTTGTGTTCAAAGAGCAGCGACTGCATGTGAAATCTTTGGGTGCGGCACCCCGTCCCAATAACATAATAGATTTGGTAGATAAGCTGACTGTACAAAACTTACCACTATTTAGTAAGTAAATACTGGTCTATAATCACCGTCATAGCTCAACAAAATAATCAAACAAATGAATTTTCTGCGGAACGAGGTGTTTATCCTGGCATGGTGCCAGTGCTTGTCAATCATTTAAGAGAATCAAGGTAATAAATAGCTTGGACGAGTTGCTTGGCCCAAGAGAACGGGTGCAGAGACTCGGTGTAGGTGATACTGCCAGCAGCGTAGACAATATGACAGAAAGCGGGCACGCCGTCCGACATCACCCCTTACAACCAGCCGGTAGTAGGCTTTCAACGAATGAAACGACAGCGAACTAGGGATCTGTCCAAAAGAGCGCGAGAGGCGAGAACGATGTTAGATTTTTTGGTTTCAAGATCTTTGAACATACGTGTAATGGTTCTCCATGTGATGTTGATCATTGTTTGCGCGCTTAGATTAGGCATTCAGGACTTTATGTGCAGACTGGTGTTTTCAGAAAAATGGCCATTGCTTGCCCGGAATGCGGCCGTGATTTTGATAGCATGATGGACTTGAACAATCACCTTTTTTCAAGTCATGGCTATTCGAAGGAAGATATTGAGAGATTGAAAAAGGAAAAAAGAGACGAGAAAGTGATGAGTAGAGCAGAGACAGTTCACAAGTGCGAGTTGTGTGATGCGATTTTTTCAACGAAATCTTCGTTGAGAAAACACAAATCCACCAAGCACTCTAGACATGCTGAATCTGCAGAGAGATTCATCACTTGTCCCGTCTGTATGGAGCAAGTCAAAGTACGCATCTAGTTTTCTTTTGTCTGGACCTCTCTTACAGAGTAATGTGTGGTTTTAGATGCATGAGAAACTAGTAGAACATGCGCAGCTCGCGCATGCAAGCGAATCGGACGAATACCGCGTAGATACCAAGTTTTTCAGAAATAGGGACGATTACGAGGTTAGTGCTGTATCAGCGACGGTTGGAGACTTCGAACAACTCCATTCATCTAGGTCTGGCGGAGAAACGAGGAAAAGCAACATGTTCTACAATGGGCCAAGACATCAGCTCAATCGTCCGAAGGTCGAAAAGTCTCGCACTATCGATGTAGCCGCGCCATACCCTTCCCCAGTTACACCGTTACGCAGGGGCCTCGATCGAAAAAAAGTGTTCCTTATTGCACTGCATTTTTGAGGGTACGTCCTAACGATCAAGTTCAGTGGTACCAAAAGAAAACGATCTCTAAATTTAGGTGTCTGAGGAAAGCAATGGCATTTCTGTAACGTATTGCAACCAGCACTGCGGTCATGAGCTGCAACCCGCTCAACTGAGCATCGATAAAAATGACGAGAGCTACATTGTCAGTATGCTCAAAACGGGTTTCAGCGCAAATCAAATTCTTAAAAAAATAAGGATGGAATACAGAAGCAAAGAAAAGGATCGTTTGTATTACACTACCGCAAAGGACATAAGGTAGATGCACCACATCTGAGATAACTTTCGTTGAAGCTCTCTAGTTTTAGAAACATTGCTGTCCGTCACAAGATAGAGCCGGGAAGGAAACATGAGCTCGATTTAAAATCCGTTGAAATCAGAGTTGAGGAAGGCTCTGTAGACGACGGTATTCACATCTACGCACCTGCAAAAGAGGAGAGCGGTGACGGGTTCCTGCTAGGTATTGGCTCAATTAAAGGGCGGTTTTTTGTCCATCTCATCATCAGGTGCTTTAGTAGTGGTCACCCCAGTGCAGGAGGCACGGTTGACTCGATATGGCCGTCGTGGTGTTTCTATAGATGATACGTTCAATCTCACAAAGTACTCCTTGCGATTGGCCACTGTCATTGTAGCCGACGAATGGGACATGGGCTTACCCAGCGCCTATCTTCTATCCCACAGGTACTCTTCCCCATTCGGTACTGGTACTGCTCCCTACTTCTGATGCATGTTCGCAAAAGCAGCTGTTTCAGGATGACGGAAATGAAATATTTCAATTATTTTCGGTGATTAAAAAAACTGGTGCCGGATTTCGACCCGAAGCTGTTTATGTCAGATGACACGAACAGTTTTTACAACGGATATTCTACGTGCCTTCCCAGATGCAGCTGCCGTCAAGCTTCTGTGCAGCTTCCATATTCTCCAAGCTATCAAGCGTAACTGTAGGACTAAGCTTATGGAAGTTGATAACTTTCTATTCGCCTGATGGGTCTTGAGACAGGCTTCTTTAGAAAAAGCGTGCTGGAATGGTAATAAACAAAGTTCGTTTATTTTGTCGGACAGCAGACAGTGACGACTTCATGGAACAGTACGCTACGCTTCTTACAAGTTTACAGGAGCTAGGGGAAAACGAGTTCCACTCTTACATGGAGGAAACATGGTACCTTTAGTAGCATTTTTATCATTATGGGTCTTCTCGTGCTGACGTTCCAGAAGTTCTTCTTTCAGGAGTCCACGTGTTCAACAGTGGGGCGGTTTTTCGCGTGTCAACGCATGTATGAATACTTCTATGTTGGGAGAACGCTTCCATAAGAGGCTGAAACATGAACTACCCGACTCAAAGTCTAATATGCGACTTGACCGCCTCCTAGATCTCATCATCTCACTTCCTGCTGACATGGAGCAGGATCGCACCATTAAGGTTGTTCGAACGTTAACCGTTGTCGTTCTCGTCTCAAATGACGTATTCCTGCAGATGGAACGAGGACTGTCAGGGGGGCGATATCGTCTCCTGCAGCAGCACCATCAACACGCCGATGCTGTCAAATGGTTTCAAAAGAGGCAGGACGACGTGCAAGTAGTTACCTCTTTGTCAATGGAAAGTAATAGAAGGAGAAGCAGTCCACCATGTAAACCAGTTGCTATCTTGTTCTTGCGACAGCAAGATACATTCTGATGAACGACGTTTTCTTCGAAAAATCCGTCTATTTCAGTTGAATAACCACTGCCTCAAAGGCGAATGTGGTGCGTGTGGCTACGGTTATCGTTGTGATTGCAAGAAAGACATACAGTCAGGTGTTTCATGCCTCCACGTCCACGCATGTCTAATTTACGCCCCTTCAGGTGACTGGTTTTTGATGAGGAATGTGTGTTCAGCACTTATCTTAATCCTTATTCTCTAGGTAAAGTCACGGGCGACATCTGCGGCCATGTAGAAAACATGGAAAACACTGGCTTGGTAGCAGAGTCTTCTGAAGTAACTTGCTTTGCCCAAGATCGCATCGCAAGAACTGATATTTTGGATTCAAATAACAATTTGGTTCATGAAATTGAAACCGTAAGGGTGTTAGTTTGTGATAATTCTAAAATGCGGCCGTAAATCTATCTCTTTAATTCAGAATTATGCGGTGGTACGATGCAACATCCTCAAAATCTCGAAAGTACCAGTCATCGAAGCGAGTCACTGCCTTGAAGAAGTACTCGATGCCATGAAGTCTTTAAGATGTCGGACTGATGAAAGCGTGCGCTCAACATGCCCGAAAAGGAAGCCGTTGCAGACAACACAGATAGTGAGGCGGGCTGATCTTCCACTCAGTGGGCGCTTACGTCAGAATCCACCAATTCGCAAACTCATGCCGGTTGGTGTGCTTAATAACCACGTTTGGGGGGGGGCGTAAAGAAGGAACCAGCCTCACGCAATTCTCAGCAGGATCACGGTGAGGCATTCTACTTTCAGTATTTTCCCTTTTCTTTTTCATGCCACTCATTTGCTCAGTGATAACATTGCAGACCAAGAGTGAACTTTTCCAACACCTTCGACATTACTGCAAAGAAAATTTCTTCCGAGGGTGAGCCTTACTTTCGATTGCGAAGGAGGTATCTTCAATAAAAGTGCACCCAAATCATCATTTCAGGAATGAACTTATTACGGGCGCGATGTTATACGGGACACTACGGAGCCATCGATAAATCCAATTTAATGTAATGTGTGATGCTTAGAAGAATAAATGATGCCGGAGCCATCGATAAATCCAATTTAATGTAATCCTGCATGTGATGCTTAGGAGAATAAATGATACACCAAGTGTTTATAAGAATATATGTTAACAATTGTGTCGTGCCAAACTACGGACACAAATTATGAAATCAATACCATGTTTGTTATATTCGAGCACAACATTCATGACAGGTATAAAGATCCTTTGGAGGGGGAAAAGAGCGCAATCGCAGCTTTTTATGCCATAGCCATGTCGCATTTATGGTGACAGATAATGTCCACGACCGGAAATGGACTTTCTTACAGTTTGTAGAGAAGTGATTAGAGAACAAGCTCGAAAAAACTGTGTATCGTACGTTGACATGGCCGCGGCCAGTATGCGACCGCGCCTTATGCAAAAATGACAAATAACAGTGGGAGATAATTTTGGGCAGTGACACATAAGCAGAAAACCACAATGTCTACTCCCGCTCTCGTACCGACGTTGCCATTTTATCGACTTTTTCAAAAAGGACGGGTCCGTCACACTTGCCATCCATTCGAGCATTTTCAAGTCGTTCAATGTGCAGAGTTTCGCCCTAGAAAACAGAAATAAAATTGCTTTAACAAATAAACTAATACTCATTGAGCCAACCTGTTCTCTTCAAACTGCTGCACTTTTCTCTTTCAACTCCTGGTGGTGCATCATCCACAGGTGGCGTCTTGTCACCCATTCTTCTTATGTAATCTGTACTATTCAGCCGCTTTGGTGAGACCTTCTCTATTCCGAACAAAGATCATAAACTTTAATGTTTATTACTGCCGAATAGAATTCAAGTATACCCCATATCCCGAAGTTCGAGTTGGTTTCTTTTCGTAATCCGTCCCAGAAACCACATTAAACCAAGAAAAAAAATGCATTCGTGGTATGGGATCCCCATGAGCGCTCAAAGAATACTCAAGATACTAGGATACGTGAATACTAGGTAAACACACAAGGGAATAAAACCAAACGAGAAATAAACCAAATTGAAGTGAAATCTCAACCCAAAGGAACTCGCCCCAGGAACCACATCAGGCCGAGAAAAAAATGCCTTCGAGTACGGGATCCCCATGGATGCGAACTCAACATATTAGGACGTGAATACTAGGTAAATACAAGTGAATAAAACCAAACGAGAAATGAACCAAATGGAACTGAAATCTCACACCAACAGGACCCACCTACAACAATCAGCGCCTGCTCTGATCCAAAGGGATTATTCTTAGCTGCTGTAAGACCCTGAAAGCATCAATAACTACGCGGCCTATCAAAATATGATGATTAGGCTTACTCCGAAGCCTTGCCTTCTAGACCGCATCCGAATCCATTACAAATAGCAGAGATGACGCACCTGGACAGCTGGCTTGCTCTGAGCTATGAGCAAAACAAATCCTCTCTATATATAAAGCAGAAGTTGTGTGTGCGTGTGTTTGTGTGTGTGTGTGTTTGTATGCTTGCGTGTTCGCCCGAAACGGACGGACCAATAGGAGAATAGGCTCCGCCCACAATGGGCGGGGCCTATGTATAGCTGAGCGGTGTCTGTTGAAACGTTGTCAACAAAACACTTAAAAGCCGTCAACTTTGGGATGGGGGTGAGGGCATGTTGAAAGTCACAAACCAAGCCTCGCACACAATAAACGGGGCGTGCACCGAAGTGAGTAGTGCCAACGACAAAAATTCGTAAAATTCCTCCGGAAGATCACAGGGACCCGGGACAAAATCATTCTCTATGCACCACGTTAGACTACACCCACAATGGGCGTGGGGGCATACCCGAAGTGAGCGGGGCGTTTGTTCGGGCGGGCGGGGCCTAACGCCTAACGCAAATCTTCAAAATTCAGACCCGGAACTACTCGGGCAGCGGGAAAACGGACTCGAGTAAAAAGTGGGCAGGTAGATAAACAGAAGGAGGCACACCCGAACTGGGCGTTGGAAAGAGCCCGGCAGATTGCAGTCGGCGGGCGTTTGTCTGGGTAGGCGGGGACCAAGTAAAAATTTCGAAGTTCGAACCCGGAACTACCCGAGCAGCGGGAAAACGTGGAGTAAGAAGTGGGTCGAGGTTGATTCGATCGATTTTTGCGAGCAGTGTTTGGATGAACCAGCTCTGTTATCGACTCGAATTTTGTTACAGATTCGAGTGGGCTGCATTCTATGGAGAGGGGGGGGCGAGGGACGGGTAACATAAGTGAAGAGACACCCCAGCGAATGAGATGTGCGCCGAGTCGGCGGCGCCTGCTGCAAAAGTTCATAATATAGTCGCAAGGCAAGTGAGAATAGCAGTGAATATGAGGTCATAATCGAAAATTCATAACTTACTACCAATTTTTTGCATTTATTTATTTGTTTATTTACCTGCTATTCATTCTACAACAACTCAAACACACACACACACACACACTTCCACTTCAGTTCATCCACTACCGGCATTCCACCCCTCCCTTTACGAAAATTTCACAACCGTCCACTAGGGGGGGGGGGGGGGGGGGTATATACCAAATGTGAAACGGTAATGTTCTGGAATTGCGAAAAAAAATTTTCTGTAGCGAAAGCGGGCGATCCGACTGGGCCCTCAGTTTGGATGGCCGGGGACCCACTTCACACGCATAAGCCGGACCCACTTCACACGCATAAGGAGGATCGCCCGCCGAAGCGGGCGATCCGACTGGCCCTCAGTTTGGATGGCCGGGGACCCACTTCACACGCATAAGGAGGATCGCCCGCCGAAGGCGGGCGATCCGACTGGCCCTCAGTTTGGATGGCCGGGGACCCACTTCACACGCATAAGGAGGATCGCCCGCCGAAGGCGGCGAGGGAAAATCCGACTGCGGCCCTCAATTGATGGCCGGGGAGCCACCGCACACTTCAACACGCCATAAGGAGGTCGCCCCGCCGAAAGCGGGCGATTCGACTGGCGCCTCATTTGGATGGCCGGGGACCCACTTCACACGCATAAGGAGGATCGCCCGCCGAAGGCGGGCGATCCGACTGGCCCTCAGTTTGGATGGCCGGGGACCCACTTCACACGCATAAGGAGGATCGCCCGCCGAAGGCGGGCGATCCGACTGGTAATACTAAAATGCACAATACTAATACATGACAACAAAATGCGTAACAAAGTTGTCAGCAGACGATCCAATTTATTGAGAGAAGCGCAGCATACGCGGAAATAAAAGAAAGCATACTACACGTTACTATCCTAAGAAATGGCAAGCTACACAACGACGTATCGATTGCAGCGCTTTAGGCGTCCTATAAAGTGTAACATACACACTTGGTGCAAGGTACACCTTATCTGACGCCAGCGTAGGGATACGGTATTGTCCCGGTAATACTGAAGTTAGCTTCTTGTGGAACAGCAGGGAGTAAAGATCATACGTCCTCACAGACCAAATATAATTGAAATTAAAAATAGTTAAATGTAGGTTACTGTGCCCCCTTTATTAGGTCAATAAGTACCTTACACCCTCTAGTTAGTCTCCTCTCCCAATTTTTTCACAACTTATTTTTTTTTATTTTTTTTAAACTTATTAGCTCACGCACACTTTTAGTCATTTTTTGTCACTTATTACATACTTACTTTTACACATAAAAAAGAGGGGTCATACCTCCTCCTGAAAAATAGGGATTAGCGCTGATGGTGATGGCTGAGGGACAAGTCAAAAATGGCAAGAGGGATCAATTTTTGACGCCTCCAGCGCTAATCGTTCCCTTTGGGAACAAACAGGGAGTGCCGACCCCTGGGCAGTAGTCCTGCCAAACCCTTCGGGTAGATCCCTTGTATGGGTTGGACCGCCCATACACTCAGATAATAGGTCAAAAAACAATCCTTTTTCATACTATAAAGAAACTAAATTCACAAGGTAAGGGGAGAGGATAAACAGTATATCTTAAAAGACTTTGGTAATAAAAACGAGGGTGTCAGGTGCTCAAACAATTGTAGAACTTGTAATATTACTGACATAAGTAACTCTATAGAACTCATGTAACAGGTTTACATATGAACACCTACAAACAAGATGACACCAACTGTAAGTCAAAGAACGTCATTTACTGTCTAACATGTAACAATTGTGGAAAACAGTATGTAGGTATGACAGTTAGAAAACTTAAGGATAGAATAGGCGAACATATTAACGGCATCTACAAACATAATAAGCATACGCTCTTATACAATCATTCCGACAAATGTGATAAGGGAATTATAAGATTACGCAATGATAATATAAAAGTCCTTGGTAACTTAACAAGCCTTAACACGCCTTTCTTGTTAAAAAGCAACTCCCCCTTTTTTTTCTCTTACAAATAACAAAGAATAGGGATAATAGAGGCAGAAGAAAAAACAGAAGGAATAAAAACAAAACAACTTATAAAGGAATATTGGAAATAATCACCAAAGAAGAAGGCACGCTCAGACCTATTGACTATTATAGGCTAATAAAAAGCTTACCAAAAAGAGAAATAAAAGAAATCATT